CTCGACAAGATGACTCAGCAACCGACAAAACCACTAAACCGAAAGCAAATAACCGAACCCCGAATCCTTGAACCGGACTTGATTTTTATCAATTGCTGACCAAATATGTGTTTTCATTTCATTTATTCAAAATTTATTATATTACACTTTTTTTTTTCAAGAGGGAGATCACAAGAAAAAGCTTAAAACTCGCCTTCTTGAGATTGAGAAAACGGCGAAAATCTTGAGAACGACGGTTTAAGACACGGAGGAGTAAGAGCTAGTCACCGGTAAAAAGAAAGGAGAGCCTCCGATTTTCTTCGTCCCTAACACATTCTTCACCAAAAGTTTCCATCTAACTTCATCTTTCTTGCTCTGTTTCTCCATCTTCTCCTTTAAGATCCTGTTCCCAAAAATCCACACAAATATCAACACACAAGACCCATTTTGTTGTTCTAAATGCCATAGAGTTAAGACTTTTGTGATATTTCCATTATTTGGGTTTATTTACCTGCAAAGAGGGACTCGACATTGATCAGAATCAGCGCAAACACGTGAATGCAATTCAAGGAGTTGCCACATTCTCTTGCAGTGTACGCAACCACCTGGAACTCTAGGCTTACATCCTGCGAAATGCCGAATTAATGATTCTAATCCCTTGCAAGCTTCATAGTTACACGTTGCGTGGTTCGGTTTGAAATCTTTATCGTGTGGTCCTATTGTTTTACATCCGTCTCTGCATATATGAACAAGAGCTTCCATTGCTTCGTATAGCTGCGAATATATCCTCTGCTCGTTGCGTTTTCTGATCCTGTCTTTTCGCATCTGCGTTTTTGTTTATGCGTATTCAAGATTTAGAATTCTTCGGTAATGAGGCAGGAGAATAAGTTAGGTAATGTAAAACACTTACATTTTCTTCGATGATCACAGAATCTCTAAGTTCTTTCTCGAGAAAAGGATGGCTTTTCTTCATAGCTATCCATGCTTCTGTTGCATAAACCTCCTTAAAGTGTTTCATGATCATACGATGAGATATGACGCTAAGCCGTGGGAAGTCACACAGCAGCGAAAGCTGGAACACATCGATTACATTCTCAGTGTTAATCAAACCATGTTCTAGATGCCATTCACAGAGCCGTTTCAGCTGAGGAACCACATACGCGTGCGACAGAAGTAGCAAATGCATGATAAACTGATTCATTTCTTCATTCTCATAGCTACACAAAAACCAAGTCAGGTTTAATCAGTACTAAGATAAGACAATGTCAGAAGATTTAGAGCAAAATAGGTATAGATTCCATACCAAGAAGAGTAGAGAAAACGGATAAAAACTCGCACAGCGTCATGAGGAACACCACGGATTGAGATTGTATGCCACTTGCCATGTCTTTTGGCTTGCTTCAACATGCCTTTGATCACAGGAGAAGCAGTTCCCTGTTTAATTTCAAAACCCATGTCAAAAAAACAAAAAAAAAACAAGTCTAGAGCTTTACAAAATGTAACCGATTGAGTCTGTATTCGCGTAGCTAAAGATCAACACTTTGATAAAATTTCAATGTAAAAGCTTACAATTATATTGGCATGAGCATAGATGGTGTCGCCATTATCTGTGTAAATGACAACATCAGCTTTGTATCCATCGTTGAAGAGACGATCCCACATATCTCTTGTTGCTGTTGAAACGCAGTTATGTCTTACGAGTCCTGGTGCTGCAGCATCCTCCATGCCGTATCTTTTCTGGTGTCCATAAGCTTTTGATGGAACAGGTGGAGGAATTGGCACAGAAGGATCAACACAACCACTCACCATT